GAAAGTCAAAATTGACGTGTGTAGGTAACAAAGATAATGTACAAATCAGACAGAAATCAGCGAAGTAGATTCTGTTAGCAACGACGAAGGAAACAATTGGGAAGACCTGTGTTTTTAAATTTTAAACTAAGTGCAGTGTAATAGGTACGTGAGTGTATACACCTGATGATGGCCGTTTGCGGCCGAAACATGTAGTGCAGAAGAAAACAAGACGAAAGACCTATAATAAATTGTTGCGCTTAAGACGGAGTTTATGTCATATATTCTTTGCAATGTTCAGTGCCTCATTGGCATTTATGCTCATATATTTGAGATATAAATCTATTGGTGCAAGGCTGTTCACATTACAAAGAGCTGGGAATTGTCGAATTTCATTAAGTATTTACCATATGTAAAAGCGATTACGTAGAAATTGTGGGTGAACCAGGGCTATGTATTGTTAGATAACCATTACTCAAACTTTTTGAGAAAATTTAAGTTCAGTTTGAGCTTCATGTAAATTAAGGGTTATGCTGGACCAGTATGAACCAAATTAGATTCCCCTGAGAAATTTTAAGGTGGACGACCCAGTAGGCATACCAGACTTAATTGAAATCGCTTTAAGCTCTTCCGACGACGATACACGTGGGCAAACGGGAGGACAGTACCACCCCCTAGTGCGGTTATGAAATTCGCGGAATGGAAACATAATAAAACATTTAACGTATACTGGTAATATGACGTAAACATATCTTCGTAGTAACTGTTAACGCTCTACTGTACTCTTCCTTGGCATATATACCTATAGGTAAAGGTTGAGGTGGAATCTTAACCTCTTTGGCACTTGTTATCCTGGATTTTTGGAAGCATTGTTTTCGTTCCTTTATTGCCTAACTCTTCTGGAATATCCCCAGATTAGTGAATGCGAAGGCTAGGCATGTTCAGTTCATTGCTCAGAAAGTGTCTCGTTAAGCCGTATCTTCTTTCAACAAAGTGTAACAACTTCCCATTGTTCCAAGCTCGTTAACACATTCTCTTGATGATGGATTTGGGCGTGCATGGCCTCTGACTTGGTCCCTGAGATATTCCCCAAAATAACGCGACGGTATCTTTTTTTCTTCATAAATTTACGTCACGCACACAACAGAAAGGAATAGTAGCCCGGCCAGTGACAAAGGTCGTATTGAGTAGCATGTTCCTAGGCAAACTGTGGAACTGAACAAGCAGCGTTCTGGATTTGTATTCGATAGGCATTCCGCTGGCTTCTGAGTCGGGACACTGGTTACCATGACTCAAGTTTTTCGTGGTTTCACTCAGTCTCTCCCAGACAAATGCTTCGGTAGAACTTTTATTAGGCCACGACCGCTTCTTTCCTTCCGTTTGCAAAAACAGTCCCTTATGTCCGTGGGGTAGGAGGTTGGGTCATCTGGCCGTGGTAGAGATTCGTAGCCAGTCACTTCACTGACTGTCGGAAGTGATTTTTAGCCTACTTTCATTATTCTGAAACAAGAAGTTCCCGGAAGAACCAATCACCTACTTTCCACGTATATGACACGAACTGTACATAATATGACGCTTCCAAAAATTCTTCTGTTGTTGCGTTTATATTCGTTGCCGCATTTAACGTTTTTACCATAGGCCGCGCCATAGCTCAAGCGGTTAGTTGCTGGCTTCCCACCGCGGCGTCCCTGGTTGGATTCCGGGTCTGGTCAAGTGGGATTTGTGGTGGACAAAGTGGCGCTGGGGCAGGTTTTCTCCGAGTACTTCGGTTTCCCTTGCAAATCTTCATTCCACTAGTTGCTCCACAATCACCCTCACGTATCATCTGGGGCTGGTACAATAGGCCAGAAGTGGCCGCAGTACAAGGAACTTAGTCCCACACCACTAGCATAAAAAAAAGTTTTTACCAAGCCATTGCCCTGCAAGAATAAGGGGTTACAAAGACACACAGACGGATGGGAAGGGTTTATGAAATACCCCGTTGTGATGGGCTCATGTGCCATGATGTACTCGTACATACCAAGTTCCATAAAGATTGATTTTGGCATTAAAATTTGGTAGGGATAGACACACGGAGGGCTTAGTGATCTCATAAGCCTAATTCTGTGTTTTAAAAATAAGGGAAGTAAGCTAAAAATTAACAATGATATCACACCAGCGACATGTACGGTCACCTATCACTAACAAAACCTGCCCTCTTAACTGCTGATATTATTCTCTTATCTACGAAGAACCCCTTACCGAATGATTCACATTCCCCTTTCCATACAAAAATTTAGATATATTAGCCTGCTGGTTCTTTGCCAACTGTGCCCCATCTGACCTCCTGTACTCTCACTAAATCTACTTATATTTTGATATTTCTTTCACAACTGTCATGAGCGAACCTGCTTCTAACATTCCACATACCAAATCCCATGTCCATTTTCCTTAGCTTAGATCGTTTATCTAAAGAATCCGTCCAGGTTCGAGGCCCTTTGTGACATTTCGTAACAAGTTCATTTTTTATGTGAGGAGTTGTTAGCCCCACGCCCAACCAGCTAGCTGGAGGACCACCCTTTATCGGCTGTCCGCGACTGTTTTTCAATGTATTCGCATCTACTTTCCATATCCGGAGGCCGTCTCCTCCATCCTCAACCTGAGGACGCGCCATGGCATGGTGACAAGTGGCCCACCTGACACCAGCCCTCCAAATAATAATCACCCAGTGCTACACCGTGCCGTTAACTAGTTGTTTCCAGTATGCACGGAAGAACTTATTAGCAGGGTAAATCATAGTAGGACAACTTACACCGTACATTTTATAGTTCTTCAAATATAATTTAATAATAATGAGTGGGAATGACTGATTTACAATAAATTTGGTGTCTGCGGTCTGTACCGAAGTTTATCTGGTGAATTTATTTCAGTCCGTAGGGAATCGCTATACTCCGAAATATTTTCCAACATTGTAGGCTGGATTAACTTCTTGTTCCTTCCATGCATGTTACACGTCTCGTATTCCGAGTAGAACATACTCGTCAATGAGGTGCAAAACTACATTCGGTACAAATATCTTAAAATCGCATCGAACGCATTGAAAGTGTTTCACTGAATGGATGAGTCAGTGAGACGCTGGCTGGAAACTTGTTTACGTACATATTTATCGGATCTTGAGGGACAGAAGGAATTAGAGTTGACTTCCGAAAACTCTAATCTTTGGATTCCGACTCGTCTGGGTAGCTCAGAAGCAGCCAAGACAAGCAACCTCGCAAACACTGCTAACTACACTGAGGATTGTAGCAGGCAGCAACCGTGCTCGCGGTGCTAAGAATATAGCAGTGGGGGCTGTGAGAGCCCATATTTGGCAGTGCCCCCGCCCGCCCCATGTGCTGCTGTGCTGCTGCTCTGCTCCGCGACAGCTACAAACTCATTCTTCGGGCGCAGCAGCTTTACTTTTGCTTTTCTTTTTTCTCTGTCCCAACTCATCTACTGCTGATGAGAAGGGGACGTCTTCTCGGATACTGACTTGCTTCGTAATGAGGTCGCCAGCCGTGGTAACTTCCTGGTATAGTCATTGGTCTATTTAGCGGTGAAATGAAAACGAAATTATGACTAAAACTGTTACAAAGGAACGGCGAAAGCGACCGTTCTTCCCCCCCCCCGGGTTTTCTTATTTTTATGTTTATTTGTAGTATATTTAACCGCGCTGTCAATAACTCAGGCTACATAACGCCGAATGACTGCATTTAAAAGGATGTGTAGGGAAGCAGTCATATCCAAATTTAAGGCACCGTGACGGTATTTTTTCTCTCGACACTGCCGAAAACTACAAAAATGAGTAATCTGTCACGGCCGAGATTCGAACCGTAAAAAGTAAAGTAAAGCTATTCCTGTAACAGGCCATGAAGGCCCATAGGGTTGTGAGACGTTGAGGTCCCACATTATCTAGACAGTCGGCTCAAAGATGGCGGTAAGGTTGTCAGCCTTACGCGCCGGCCGCGATTTTCTCCCCAGGAAAATTATTTAATTCCTGGTACTCATTTCTGTTAGAGGCTGAGTGAACCCCAGGGCCATAGTGTGGATTAGGTCAATTGAAAAAATCCAGTGACCTCATCGGTATTTGAACCTGCGACCTTCCGACTTGTAGCATAGTGCCTCAACCACTACGCTACCGCGTGCCCCCCAATTTACTTTTTACACTAAGAGCTGGTTATAATCGCCTAACAGACGGCGAAAAGCGGAGCAGAAAAAGAGAGAACACTGTACGAAAGGATTTTATATATGTTATGTGGATGTTAAACTCCTAAGAATTGTATTCATCAAGGAATCTTATGTGCTTTTAAATAGCGAAAAGGGCGATAAATTTAGTAAGCAATTAAAAGTTAAATGAATAGATAGGTGGTAACACTTCGAAAGAATGCGCCACCTCAAACTTCAGCTAAGCAGGTTTCTCCGAAATGTTGATACTTATTACACGCCTCACATTCCAGAAGGTCCCAGTCGTAACATTCGCCGTCTGCAGAGGCTCAAATCTGACAAGCATATGCTTTGTCAATTTCCATTTTCCCAGTCTGTTTACTGTTTTTGGTCAACCAGAACTACATTACGATGAATTATAAAGTGGGAAGGAAGAGGTTGTAGGATTTGGTCCACAAATTGGTCCGTTTTTAATTCTCACTGTTTAGCCATCAAGTCGGTCGAGCATTGCGATGGATGTTCGCAGCAGCGCCAAGGCAATAACAGCTGCATGCATGGAAACATTCCCCGGAAGATATAAACATAAAGACAACCACGTCGCCAACTCGGAGTGAAGATGAGCGGAGGTGGAGAGGGAGCAGGTTTTGTTTTTGTGCCTTGCAGGTAGGGTAGAATACTGTCCCCTTAAATCCCGAAATCGACTGTTCCTTCCACCCCCCTCTCCCCGCTTTTCTTCTTTTAAAGTTTATGACCGTGTTACTTCTCTCTTCTACGGCTCTGTGTGTGTAAATGCCGGTTGCTCCCGTGTTACTAGAGGGGTTTATTTTTGTCTTCATGTGCAGAGAAAACATCATGGGTCGACGCCAGACATTCTCCTCTTGGCCGCGGTTCCTGCTCCTGCTGCTGATGCTGTTCGTTCCACCTCTGCCGCCACCGTCCCCACCACCAACATTGCTCGAGATTGATGCTGCCACTAAGTCTACGGTCTTAGTACAGCCCCGTCGTCGTCACCGGTATCACTTCTTGTTAAAATTGAGTGCAAGAAATAGGGAGCAAGTGAATCATCGTTTGAAGATAATGTTTTGCTGAAAGTTTACATTATTTTATTTACAGTTTCAGTACTGTGTCCGAAAGCGTTGTTTAGGCGTACGTATGTTTCCCAGCTACAGGATATGCGCAGTATTCAATAGTAAATTCAAATACTTTCTGAATCCTACGAGGTATGAAAATGAGTGTTAATTAGTGGCTGTGTGTTCGGGATTGTTACCCTGTGTTTTGGAAATTGAGATGATTTCCTAATGTGTAATTTATATTTACACTTGTAACGTGTGGGGGAGTCGTATAACATTGACGTTTATATGTAAAATATAGTGGGATTTTAGTGATTTGTGCGGAAACGTCTGAATAATAACGTCCCTGGAGTGTTCGGTGCTTATCAGTTATCAGTGATGAATTCCGTTTCATTCGCATGAAGATTATTAGAAAAAATAGCTGCCTCAGGAAATAATCAGTGAATTATAATCGTTATAGAAATTAAGAGAACGATTTTAAAGATATAGAAAAGTCTAGGTGTAGAAATCACGTGTGCCCCGTATCGCAGTTTGAAATCGAAATAGAAGAGAGAGACACATAAAGTTTTCAGAATGGGCAGGCCTTACTGCCCATGAAATAATGTCTGCCATGAAATGAACTCGCCTGATCACCATTTTCAAGACGTCGACTCGCCGTCGTCGCCATCTTTGGCGCCTGGTGCAGTTGCCGTGCCGTCACGTTTGCAGGTCGCTCGCTCTGTGACGCGTTATGCCTCTTGCATGGTAGATCCTCGTCCAGGTCGTGCTGTACATTACCCTGATTTGAATGCCTGTCTCGTTAACGAGGGTCGACCCGAGCCCGTCGATTGCAATACAGTTCATTTCGGTTATGCGATTCCTGTATCTGTTGTTCCGCTTCCGGAAGAACCAGAACTCGCAGAATTAGTATTAGATCCAACTCCTGATCTAACTCCAGAGGCTGTTTCTTACCTCTTGAGACATCATCCACAGCTGAGACAAGAAAACAGCGATAGTCGAGGGAGTCACGATTTAAACGGGGGCAACGAGAATATCAAAATGGCAGCGACTGCCAAACACGAACACCTTCGAAGTAGAGATGGTGGGAAGTTCGTTGCGGAACCGGAAGAAGATATAGCCGCAATCGCAAAACAAATTTCGGACCACGCGGAAGCCATTTATCAGACATGGAAATCACGAGGATTAGCACCAGCAGAAATTCTGACATGCCACAGTAACGTAACTGCAGCAGACAAATTCGGATCAGCATTAACACCTCAGACTTCACAAACATCGCCCCATCAACCAAAACTATCGCCAATGAAGTCTGCTGTGCAAACAAAATCATCCCCTGTAAAGACCCCATCGAAGTCTTATAGTACCACGACTTCTCAGCAGACTTCTTCCGTTACAGTAGACCTTCTTGCCTCTGCACCGTCGTTGGATGCAAATAACCTTGAACAGCTGGTGAATAACTTTGTGGTCGAGGATAAAGCGAGACTGGCAGCAGCAAGACAGCAACAGAAATCATCGCCCTCTAAACCTCTTCCTTCATCCATTCAGTTCGCCCTCCAAAAGTTCGAAAAACAAGCCCCATCAGACATACAACCACCCATATCGAAATCGCCACCATCATCATCATTTGTGAAATCAACAGGGACACATCTTGAGATGAAATCTCAACCTGTGCAAAAGAAATCTTCCACTATTAGCACGTACGCATCCCATCTCAACAGGAGTCCTACAGCGTCTGCTCTATCTTCAGCTTCCCAGCAGATAACTCCAAGCATGAAATCTTCCACTCCTATACATCGTCAGAGTTCAGTTCAGATTAACACAATTGAAACTACTTTACCGCAAGACCTGCAACAGCCAAAACGATCATCAATCGAAACTAGTTCAGAAAAAAGCATAGTATCACCGGCGCCGTCGTCATCGGGTTTAACCACCTGGCCACTAAAAAATAAATCCGTAACAATCAGTGGTGGTAATGACAGGCGCAGTACTGGTATTGCAGTCAACTCGGCTGGCCCTGACGTCTCTAATAATAGAAAAGACGATGCAGTATCATCCAGTGGGAAGTACGCGACTTTACCGTCCAATAAATCCAACAGTATCGCGAAGGACGCTGTTGCATACCTCGATGAAGTGGCAAGAGAAGAAGAACGCCTTATTAATGCTTTAAAAACTGGAATTATTATTGCTGAAGATCCAACTAAAGTGACAACCACCGGCAATACAATTTCTAATAAGAAGACTAGTGGCCTGCAAAAAAAGTCATCCACCAAAGATAGTAAAGTTAGTTCGGCAGTGAAGAAAATAAAGAAGCAGCAGACGACGGAGACTGTCACACAAAAAATTTCTGTGACTGTTACAGGGGCTCAGACAAGACAGAGCCCTGAGGTACCAAGCACTATAACTCAGGTCCCCTCGCCAGCTCTTTCGACAGTTGCAACTCCTCTAACGCAGTCCTTCATATCCTCGCCAGTATCCAAATTGTCATCTACTTCGACGGATTCTGAAGCTCCAAAATCGCAAACGACCCAACCATTGCCTGTTCCTAGCAGCAAGGATGAATTGGACAAGTCTTCACTTTCCAGTCTTTCAGTTGTAGATTATGCCAAAGTTCGTTATCGTGCCGCCCAGCAGAATCCTTTGACGCAACAGAGACTTGAAGATGTGAAACAGTTCGAACAGCAGAGAAGTATAACAGGAATTGCAAGTGTCAGTGGCGGTACATCTGTAGATAGCAAACATTTACATCATAATGAAGTGATCCCTGTGGCTCGAAATAGGTTCCAAGTTAGTCCGAGATCAACCGGTACCGATAGTTCCTCGTCTGTCACATCTCCAGCAGAGAACTGGCGCCCAGATTGGCTTTCTGGAAGTCGTGTTGGGGGGGACGATGAAGCTCCACAAGCAAAACGGAGGTTTGGGTCTCCAGCAACAAATTTAGCCAGACCAGTTCGTCACCCCCACGTAGATTCCCATCCACCACACCAAGAAAATGCCATCCAGCAGCGACCACGAATAACAGGAACCGTAGGTGGAACAAATCCAGTACGACCGTTCCTTACCAGAGGGTCAGTAGCCGAACGCGTCCTCATATTCGAGAAGTGCCCAAGTGAACTACTGCTGGAGAAAAGAAGCAGAGGAGCTCCGGCAATCACTACCTGGAGAACCGGACATGACGTTCACACAAAAGCACAGGTTCGTAATATTTCATACTATATGCATGTAAACAGATGTATGTTTAGGATTCTGTTTGGACTTTCTCAGTACTCAGCTTAATTTAGGAATTTTCTAACAATGAAGAATGACAAAAAAAATTGTAAATGTTTATGAGCAGTTAGGATGAAATCAAGTTACAAGTAGTCCTTCCAGTATTTGCAGTTATATTAAATGTTGCTCAAGCGGTTAGTTGCTGGTTTCCCATCGCGGCGGCCCGGGTTCGATCCCGGGTCTAGTCAAGTGAGATGTGTGGTGGACAAAGTGGCGCTGGGGTTGGTTTTCTCCGAGTACTTCGGTTTCCCCTGCCAATCGTTATTCCACCAAATTCTCCATCATAATCACGCGGGAGCAGGCTACATTAGGCCAATCAGTGGCCGCCTAGCCGAGTGGACCCAGTTGGGATTCCACCCCCCTCCCCACTAAACGAATTAAGAAACAAAATATATTTAATGTTTATAGTTGATAATGTAGCAACTTCTCAAATTTATAAGTAATCGTAAACAAATAATTACAGATTAATTTTAGAAAGTAGGATTTGTCAGCTGCAAGGATATGCAGTGTCGAACAGGACAGCTAGTAAATGACTTCGGAAAGATATACAAAGTGGCAGTAATAATATGTTCGGGGTAAGGGAAGAAAATCAACTTCCGAACCAGCCAGATACAAAGCTGCAGTACTGACCAGTCAGTCTCACTTTTCGACTAGATGGTACAAATTTGAAAGAAAATGGATTCGTCAAACACAGTGGACACTAATTTTTCATATTGAAGTAAAGAAGAATGGGAGTAGCTCATTCATAACAGCGTGACATAAATACATTCAGCTTTCATTGATAAATAAACGGAATTAAAATTTGCGAGGTTTTATCTGTGAGACATTGGAGAGGGTCAACATATCTCTTCACTTTTCACTTCTCAATTTTTCCAGTTTTCTACGGCGAATCTGATGGGCAAGGCATATAGCATGTACGAGAATATGAGAAATGCATGCAAAATTTAAGTCAGAAAATCTTTAGTACTTGGATTAAAGAAGGTGGCGGACTTTTTTAGATTGTGTAATGAACTTCCAGGTTTTAAAAAGAGATGGAATTTCTTGACTGATTGAATAACTGTTAGCTTTTCTGCCCCATGAAATTAACGTACCTACCTACCTACCTACCTACCTACCAACTCCATCAGGCAGACTACAATTTGCCTCTGTCTATCTTACTTCCATGTTAAGTGAGTTCCTTGTCACCATGGCATGGCGCATCCTCAATTGCGGGTGGAGGAGACGGCCTCCAGATATGGAGGGTAGCTGTGAATATATGTAATTAGCAGTCATGAACGGACGACAAGGGGAGGTCCTGCAGCTTAGACGTTGGGCATGGGGCCACAACTCCTAGATGTAAAATAGTTTTGTTATAAAATGTCACAAAGGGCTTCGGACTTGGGACGGATTCTGTGGATAAACAACCGAAGCTAAGGAAAACGAGTATGAGATTTGATACGTGGAAAGTAAGAAGTATGCGATATACAGGATGGGTTCGCTCATGACAGTTGCGAAAGAAATCTCAAAATATAAGTTCGATTTAGTGCGAGTACAGGAGGTCAGATGGGACAGAGGTAGCACCGAACCAGCAGCCGAATAATATACATATCTCTGTGTAAAGGGAAATGAGAATCTTGAATTAGGTACAGTTTTTTTTTTTTACATACTAGAATCATATCGACAGTTACGAGGGTAGAGTTTGTTAGCAGATTTCGACGTAAAAGAGGGACTGCTCATCAGAACTTTTACATTCGTCAGATACTCTAGGAAAAACGAAAATACAATGAGACAGTATTTAAGCTATTTGTAGAATTCAAGAAAGCTTATGATTTAATTAGGAGGGAAGTACTGTACAGTATTCTCATAGAGTTTGGTGTACCTCTGAAGCCTGTTAGGCTTATTAAAAAGTGTTTAAATGAAACGTATGGTAAAGTCCGTTTAGCTAAACATTTGTCTGATAATTTTCCTATCCAGAATGGTGTAAAACAAGAAGATGCTTTATCGCCACTGCTTCTCAACTTTGCTTTAGAGTACACCATTAGGTAGGTAAAGGAAAGCCAAGTGGGACTGAAATTAAATGAGACACATCAGCTGCTGGTCTATACTGATGATGTGAATCTACTGGGAGATAACATACATAACATAAAGAGAAACGCATAGCCTTTAACTGACGCTAATAAGGATGTTGGTCTGAAAGTAAGCACAGAGAAAACTAAGTATATGTTGCTGTCTTGTCACCAGAGTGTAGGACAGAATCATGACAGGAATATAGCAAACAGATGTTTTAAAAATGTGGCACAGTTGAGATATTTTCAATTCAGTTCGTGTTTATTTACATGAAAACTTAACAGCACAGTGGCCTATTACAAAGTTAACACGAGTACATAGAAAGACACACAAATAATTAAAAAAGTACGAAATAAGGGAGTCTCTATAAAGGCAATAACTACAACAAATCAAAATTTGATTCAGGAGGAAATTAAGAAGAGATTGAATCCAGGTAATGTTTGTTAGTATTCGGTTCAGAATTTTTTATCTTCTTCTCTGCTGTCCAGAAACATAACATTTTTAACATAAGAAAAACTATAATTTAGCATGTGGTTCTGTATGGGTATGAAACTTGGTCTCTGGCGTTAAGGGAGGAATATAGACTGAGGGTGCTTGAGAACAGGGTGCTGAGGAGAATATTTGGACCGAAGAGGGATGAAGTGACAGGAGGTTGGAGAAAACAGCATAATGAGGAGCTTCATAACTTGTACTCTTCGCCAAGTATAATTAGAATGATGAAGTCAAAGACGGTAATATGGGCAGGGCATGTAGCACGATTGGGAGAGAAGAGGAATGCATGTAGGATATTGGTGGGAAAACCAGAAGGAAAGAGAGCACTAGGAAAACCAAGATGTAGGTCTGTGGATAATATGAAAATGGATTTTAGAGTGATAAAATAGGGTGTTATGGACTGAATCGGTCTGGCTCAGGATAGAGACCAGTGGAGGGCTCTTGTAAACACGGTAATGAAACTGCGAATTCCATTAAATGTTTGTAACTCCTTGACTCATCGCAACTGGTGACTTCTGAAGAAGGGCCCGGCTTCATGGAGTTCGTTTCCCTTATTACAAATTCTCATTATCGCATGTTAATTTTGGTGGTGCCATCATTTCCATTTTCGGCGTTGCGACATCTGCTTTTGGTATGATGACGATGAAATATATAAGTTTAACAATATTTAGCACACAGCGTTCACTAAAAACTGAACACAAAAGTAAAACAATTGAAATGTTATAAAACAAAAGGACATTTTTCTTATCTGGTAAACATCGATATACTCCCGCGGCCCAAGGCACGAGTAGAATAGGCAACATTTGTACGCACTGTGAATTCGAGGTGAGCACTTAAAAAGATATGAGATTTCAAAATTAACAGCAGAATTAACTTTGTCAGTAAATGTCCTTGGACGCCATTAAATTGTTTATGACTTCCATTTTGTGTAAACGAATAGAAATCCTTAGTAGAGTATTTTAGGAAAAAAATCGTCAATTTGTGTTTTTGTCTTCATATTAATTGCTTTTAATTGTGTATTTTTTTTCCCCTTGGCCCTGCAGCCCCAGTGGGCCTAGGCCTACCTCCACGAACTTCTCCGTTCACTTCGGTTTTTCTAGATCATACACATTCGGTAGGACTCCTTGGGCGGGTGATCAGCTCGTCGCAAGGCTCTACCTGTACACAAACACAGAAAAACGCACACACACAAACTAAACATCTATGCCCTGAGTGTGATTCGAACCCACGATCCCGGTTTCCAAGCAAGCGAAGACTGTACATGCCTTAGAGCGCTCGGCTACCGTGACCGACAGTTGTGTATTTAATAGCCCAATTATAAGAGAGGTTCAGTGAAGGTGAAAGCAAGGAAATAATTTTTACATTTTCAGATATTGATTTGAGATCACGAATCGGAATATTCTGTTCGTATTTCTTTTTTTCGGTAAAATATAAGTGTCTATTATTCCTAATACCACAAAGTTAGCTTAGAAACAGTCTCAGTGTCAAGATGATATATATATATATATTTTTTTTTTTCCTATGGCGCTACAGCCCCAATTTTGGCCTAGGCCTACCCTCCATGAAACTCTCCGTTTCACTTCGGTTTACTAGATCTTACACGTACGGTAGGACTCATTGGGCGAGTATTAAGCTCGTCGCAAGGCCTCTACCTGTAGACAAACACAGAAAAACGCACACAAACATCCATGCCCTGAGTGGGATTCGAACCCACGATCTGTGTTTCCGAGCGAGCGAAGACCGCTCGGCTACCGTGACCGGCATCAAAATTATATACCGTAAGAAAAACTTTCAATCTAAGTAACAAGACACTTATTACAGACTGAGATTTTAGGTTCTCACAGCTGTAAATGATATGTAAATGATATGATTACGTTCTTCCTCCGAAAGATTGGTACACATTTGCAAAGCTATAGTGTATGTCGTCACAAGCCAGAAGACCGTGACCTTGTTACAGATTCTTTACTCAGTTGAGCGGGTACTTGGTGTTGCTGCTCGAGGTGTGTTTTATCGCGATTTGATGTTTCTGATGCATTGAGCAGAATATATGAATTTAGTAATTCGACCTTGTTTATGCAGTATATAAATTGTACTGTTGAATGATTAGCGACGCACATTTGCTGCGAGAGGAACCATATAAGGATCTGATCTTTTTCAGACCCGTTAGGAAAATGCTGCTATGGACCCGTTACCTGGAAATGGATCACTGGTTTCCAGATTATCATTCATAACTACATATCCTGGTGTTCTACGCTATATAACCTACGCAACTGAGAAAGAATCGTTAAATAAAACAATAACGGAAGTGGCTGTATATAGGATCTTATGAACCTTCTGGTTCCATAAAGTTAGTGAATTCCTTGGCTAACTGAGGGACTCTCGACTATTCA